GTCGTGCGGTGGCCCGTAGGACGGCCTGGGCCTGGGCGCTCGGCAGCTTGAGCTGCCCCTTCCCTGTCCCTAGTGCACAGTGTGGAGCCTGCTGTCCAGGAGAATGGTGACGACGCGGGGGAGGGGAGGGATGGCAAGGAGGCTGAGCCCGGCTCCCCCAGGAGGTGCGACATCATCGTCATCTCCGGCCGGAAGGAGAAGTGTGAGGCCGCCAAGGAAGCCCTCGAGGTGCGTTCAGAACCCCGCCACCACTCCCGCGTCCCTGGGGGCCCATCAGCAGGCACCGGGGTGGGGGCGGGAAGGGAGAGCGGGTCTAGTTACTTGAGCCCAAGCACCTCGGCTCGCACTGCGGAAGGTGCTGGACTGGGTCACAGCCCAGGATCGGGGCTGCAGGCCCAGGGCCAAGGACGGGCGCGGAGCTGGTGGGGCTCGGACTCCCCTTCCGTGGTGTGCAGCTGCCGGGCCTCACAAGGATGAGTAATTGCTGAGCGCCACCTCAGTGGACAGGACAGGGGTTCTGTCGTATCACGGGTCAAGTGGGGCAAGCAGCTTGCTGAGGTAAAGGGCACAGTCGGGGCTGCAGTCGGGACAGTGGAGTCTATGGTCCCGGGTGGTGTCCCATCACTCTGACCCACTCTAGGGTCTCAGCGAGGCTGGGATCAGGGCGAGCCTCTGTGTGAGCCCCACTCCCCTCCTCTGTGGGCCCCTGATGCCTCTCCCTGGAGTTGTGCTGCTTTGCTTCTGCAAGGGGCTGCTGTGTTGAGCACAGGCCCGGGTCTGTTTGCTCTGCCAGCGTTGACCTGAAGACTGCATTCCATACCCTTTTTCCGTGTCCTCTGTTGAGTCAGAGGTGTAGGCGGCATTCTCAGTCCGAGTGGAATGGCACAGAAGGTTCGAGAAAGCAGTCTGATTGTCACAGGCTCGTCCCCTGTGCTCCATGAAGACCTGTTGCTGAGCCCACAGGGTCCCTCTGCTCCTCGCTCTCAGGCCTCACCTCACCCCCTGCCCTGCAGGCGCTGGTTCCCGTCACCATTGAAGTGGAGGTGCCCTTTGACCTTCACCGGTACATCATCGGGCAGAAGGGAAGCGGGATCCGCAAGATGATGGACGAGTTTGAGGTACAGCTGTTGGCGGGTCCTTTCCCTGTAGACCAGGTGTCGGCGGGGGTGCCCCCCAGGTCAGGAGGTCAGCCCTCGGAGTGGGGCTTCACGTCCCACCCGCCTTGTCCTGAGCCTGCAGTTGTGTCCCTGGCCAAAGGGACAGGTGGACAGCTGATCACGGCTCCCAAACTCCCCGCTGGTGGGGACCAGATAGACACGTGTCTGTCCTGTGTGTGCATCAGGCCTGTCCCCGTCTCCGCACAGGTGAATATTCACGTCCCGGCACCTGAACTGCAGTCTGATGTCATTGCCATCACGGGCCTGGCTGTGAATTTGGACCGGGCCAAGGCTGGGCTGCTGGAGCGGGTGAAGGAGCTGCAGGCAGAGCAAGAGGACCGGGTGAGGGCCGGGCGGGGCTGCGTGGGCCAGGGAGGATCACCCGGGGGGCCCCGACCTCCAGCTCCTGGGCTGCCCCTCAGCCAGTGAAGTCAGGTGGCAGCGGGAGAGCCAGTTGACCCCCTGTGCAGCGAGCTTTCATCAGAGGCAATGTTGGGGCCGTGGCTCTTTTTTCTTGACGTTAACGGTGGTGAAGGTGGGCTTCCACGTTAGTTAGCTGTTTCTTAAGTAGATCTGAAGACATTTGCCAACCTTACAGGGAAGGTTCAGCTGGGGAGGCCTGGGAGCCATTGCTAGGAAAGACCCTCTCGCCCCCCAACATGTGACTGTGGTCCCAGGTGGCTCCCACTGACGCCCTTGGTGCTGTTTCCCTGCCGTTGGGTGGATGTGAGAAGCCGCTTTGCCTCTCTGTGGGGCTGGCGTTTGGAGGATTACACGAGTGACGCTCGCAGGGGCGGGAAACGTGAAGTGCTGTTACATTTTCTGTGGGGGTGACGGACCCCTTGCTGAGGGGACCTTCCTGGCGTCTGGTGACGGGGCAGGGCCCTCACGAGTCTGTGGTCCCCACTGTCTCAGCCTCGGCACAGGCTTTGGGGGCCCTTCTCTGCCTAGGGCTTTGCCTGAGCCTCTGCCTGTGGACATCCCTTAGCACTTTTGCTCCCTTTTGTGGGTTTTTTGTTTGTTTTGGTTTGGTTTGGGGTTTCTTTTGCCTGCTTTCGTACCCCTACCCCAAAAGACGCAGAACTTTTTTATACTTACTCATCAGGTCTCTGTTTCACAAGTCAGGGTGGTAGAGCCCAGGGCTTGCCGTGTGCTGTGCCAGGCCTGTCGGCTACCAGCACGCAGCTTCTCCTCTTTTCTGAAGGATCTGTGCTCGTGGTTGTGGAGTGGTCAGGTCCTCGGGTTCTCATTACTAGCTGATGGCGGAAGGGGCGCAGCAGCTAGCAGGAAGGCCGTGTCTCGTTCTTGTTGCAGAGGTGACGACGGATCCCTTCCAGGTTGAGGATGGAAGGGGCACGTGGGCGCGCGATGCTGAGGGCCGAGGCGGACGTGCCCCCCCTCCCCCTCACTTTCTCTTGTCTCATCTGCAGGCTTTAAGGAGTTTTAAGCTGAGTGTCACTGTAGACCCCAAGTATCACCCCAAAATCATTGGGAGGAAGGGGGCAGTGATCACCCAAATCCGCTTGGAGCATGACGTGAACATCCAGTTTCCTGATAAGGATGATGGGAACCAGGTAAGGAGGGCCCCACTTGAGTCAGACACCACGGTGGAGCGCTTCAGGGGCAGAGGGGCTCTCGGTGGTCTTCGTCCTGACCTGGGGACAGTGACCACGCAAACTTAGGGTGCATCCAGAGGGATGGTGAGAGTAGCAGGTCTCTGGGGAGCTGACTGTGGCTTGGAGTCTGGGCCCACGTTGGCCCAGGCCAGCGCACGAGGCTTCTCTGTCATGGGCTTGGAGCACTTTTCCCGTGCCCACCTGGCCCTCCGCCCGCTGCACTCAGGGCAGTGGAAGGCAGCCCCTCCCCCCAGACATCACCCCCAGGCCTCACACACCCCTGCCTGCCCCCTCCCTCACGCTCTCTGCCCCTCAGGCTCGACCCCTGGGAGGTGACCTGGGCCCTCCTGCCGCCCGCCCTGCCTCCTCCCCTCCCAGCCTCTTGCTGCTCTGGACTCGGCCGCCGGCATCCTCACTGACCCCGCTGACCCTCCCCGGTGCACCCTGGGCGGTGCCGTCTCGTCACCCTTGTATCTCTAAGTAGTTCATGAAACTACTGTTCTTTTTCATTCGTGATTTTCTTAAATGATCTTGACCTTGAGAATTTAGCTCAAACTCCTCGCCTTCGCTACCTTTTATTTCCCCCAACTTTTCCACCTAATCATCAATTTTTTAGTCACTGTTTAGTGTTTAGATTATTTTGGTTAGTATTCCATGAGCCAGGTGGGGCTGAGTGGTCCTGTGTCGCATTCGTGGCTTTTTCCTGTGAGGCTTATGCTGCGTTTGCAGTCTGTTCTGTGCTGTTGTGTACTTGGCGGACGATGGGCCCGCCGGCTGGTGGGAGTCTGGGCTCTGCTGGGCTGGGTTCTGGGTGGAGCCCACCGCCCACCGTCTGCATCTGCTTCTTCGGGACCGGAGGGACCTGGCCGCGGCCCTGGTGTGTCCTGGCGTTTCTCTTGTCTCTCTCCTGGCGTGGGTCACCGAGTTCCTGCTCTTCTGTTTCGTGTCCAGGTGTTCGTTCGTGTCCTGTGGTCCTTCTGCGTCGTGTTGTGTTCTTCCGTGTGGGTGTAGTGCTTTTCCCTGCCCTGAGGAATATGGCTTTAGGTTGTCACTTGTAGTTTCCTTCTCTCTGCCTTAAGTTACCCATTTGCTCTGCTCATCTTTACGGCTCTGGCGTCTCACCTGCTGGTTTGAGGGGCAGGGGTGCCGGCCACGGTTGTCTGCACCTTGTCTCCAGGTCGGTGTGTCTGTCCAGCGGAGACGCCTCCAGTAGAGGCCACCCACCCCCGTGCCCTCAGCTGCCAGCGTCCCCTCGGCTTTGGGGCCCGGTGCCCTTCCTCCTGCTCACCCGTGACTGTCTTTCTGGTGAAGGTGTGCGGGGGGGGGCGGGAGAACTCAGGTACTGGTAACCTGCTGTTTTAGGCACTCTCCCTTCTGAGCTGGTTGGGTTTCCCCTCACCTCCCCCGAGAGCCGCACCCCGCTGGGTCGGTGCTGGCAGTCAGGCATCCCTGGGTGCCGCCTCTTTTGACCGGATTCTCCTTTCTCAGCCCCAGGACCAAATTACCATCACAGGGTACGAGAAGAATACAGAAGCTGCCCGGGATGCCATATTGAAAATTGTGGGTGAACTTGAACAGATGGTTTCTGAGGATGTCCCGCTAGACCACCGTGTTCACGCCCGCATCATCGGTGCCCGTGGCAAAGCCATCCGCAAAATCATGGATGAATTCAAGGTGAGTCCCCGACCTGATCGTGAAGGGCGTTGAGCCCTAAAAGCACAGCAGGGGGGATCGGCTGGGTGCTCCGTGCACCATCGAGCCGCTTGTTTCCCCATGAGCCAGTTGAGGGGGCAGTGGGGACCACCTGGGGCTTCACCTCTTCCTGCCTGGGTCGCTGACCACACTCGGGAACCGGATCGGGAGACTTCTGAGGCTCAGGTGCCTGTCCCTCAGGTAGAGGTCACGTGGGGTCGCAGCTGTGTGTAGTTGACCCTGTCGGCGGCGCCCTGCATGGCCTGCGGAAGGCGGCAGCCCTGTGGTGGCCGATGGCTCTGCATCTGCAAGGCACATGCGGCTCTGAACACCAGGTGCCCTGCAGGGCCCCGGTCCTCCCGAGGGGGAATCTTCACTAGAAACGGACCATTCCCAGCCGCTCACAACGGGGCCCTCAGAGCCGTCTTAGCTGCTGTATGTGCTCCTTCCAGGTGGACATTCGCTTCCCACAGAGTGGGGCCCCCGACCCCAACTGCGTGACCGTGACGGGGCTCCCGGAGAACGTGGAGGAGGCCATCGACCACATCCTCAACCTGGAGGAGGAATATGTGAGTCCGGGCTGGGCGGCAGGCACCTGGGGCCGGGTGCGGGGGTGCCCATCGGGCATCGCTGCTGCAAACTGACACCCCACCCTGTGCCCACAGCTGGCCGACGTGGTGGACAGCGAGGCGCTGCAGCTGTACGTGAAGCCCGCCCCCCACGAGGAGTCTAAGGCGCCGTCCAGGGGCTTCGTGGTGCGTGACGCTCCCTGGACCGCCAGCAGCAGCGAGAAGGTGAGGCTCAGCCACCCAGCCCCTGCGCATGCGCCTCGGCGGCCGTTCCAGAAGCTACTGGGGGGCGGGGGCGGCCTCGTCACTGAAGCCGAGCCCTCTCTCCCCCCACAGGCTCCCGATATGAGCAGCTCCGAGGAGTTTCCCAGCTTTGGGGCTCAGGTGGCCCCCAAGACCCTCCCATGGGGCCCCAAACGATAATGGTCAAAGAGCAGAACCCTCTCCAGCCTGCTGACCTGAATCCGCCACATGATGGTTTGTCTCAATCTGACCCAGCGGCTGGACCCTCCGTAAATTGTCGATGCTCCCCTTCCCCGAGGTCTCACAGCGAAGCCGGCGCCCCGCGCTGTGTGTGGCCCGGTCCCGGGCCTGGCGGCACCCAGCGTAGCACGGGACCTGCTCCCAGCCTTCGCTCTGGGCGGCTCTCCACTCTTGTGAACACTAAGGAGGTCACGGGACGGTGTCACCCAGCACGTCGGTGAGGCTCTGGCCTCCGCCAGGAGAGCACCACAGGTGCATCCGAGTCTACTTCCTGTGTCATGACCTCAGGAAATAAATTTCCTTGACTTTATAAAAGCCAAAACGTTTGCCCTCTTCCTTTCCCACCCCCCTCCCTCTCTCGTGCCTGCCTGCCGTCCAGATGCTCCTCCCTGTAGAATGCGCTCCGCCGCCTTCCAGCTGCCAAAAAGCCCGCTTACCCAGGCCACAGGGCAGGTCGGGAGGCCCGGTGTGCACACTGGGCGTCCACAGACCCAAAGGAGAGCCACGGTGGAGCCAGAGGGATCAGGAAGGCAGGAGGGAGACGCGGTTCTTGGGGGGCCCCTGGCTTGCCCTGTGTCACGTCGGGGTCTCTGCCCCGGACCGCAGAGGCGCAGGCCCCGCGTCTGGTGAGCCTGGTGAGTGCGAGAGGAGGGGGCGGGCCGGGGAGGTGGAGACCACCCACTCCTGCTGGGCGGAGGCCCCGCCCTTTGCACGCTGGCTGACTTGGTTTTACACCACCTTCCGCTCCCTCGCACCCACCCCTTCCCAGATGCCCCCTGTTGAGTTGCCTCTTTCTACCTCAGAGCTGGTATGGGGTGTCCCGAGCTTCAGGGTGTGTTTGCTGCGGCCTTGGGGGGCTGGAAGCCGAGTGCCCGGCTCAAGGCCGTGCTGTCCCTCACCCACTGGGTCGGTGGCCAGTGGACCCGTCCAACGGGGAGCACACGGGCCACCCCCCCAGGTGGCCGCTGATGCATGCTCGAAGGGCAGGCCTCCTGGCCCTGGGGTAGAGAGGCTGCCGCTCGGCCGGGACCAGAGGCCCCGGTGCTGTTGGCGGCCTCTGTCAGGTGTGTGGTAGGTCAGTCCCGCGGTTGGACCCCAGGTCTTGGCGGGTCAGGGTGCCCCGGCCCCAGCAGGCTTGGTCAAGGTCTGCCCTGAAGAGGGGAAGGTGGGGCCCCGTCTCCACGGAGGCGACGGGCCACTGAGTTGTTTTGTCCCAGATGCTGGGCTTCCTAGAGGAGCTGCCCTGTGCCCTGGGGACAGTCGTCTCTGCTCTGACCACCTTCTCCCCCCGCCCCTAGAGTTTTTCTCTCAATTTATTAACTGGAGCTCGGCCCCCTTCTGACTTCAGTTCCTGAGTAGACCCCGAGTCTAACTGCGGTCGCCTCTGCAAGTCCCCACTAGCTCCGGCGGCCTTAAGTGTGCCCATTCAGAGGCATGGCCACCTGGGAGAGGAAAGGAGGGGTGTTTGCTCCTGCTGGGTGGGCTGCGTGACCCTGAAGGAGGTGGGGTTGATTGCAACAGGGAGACAGGAGGAAAGGCCCCCCCACCTCTAGGAGCCTCGCAGGGGCGGGGGGGCATCCCCTCTTCTCCTTCAGCTTGAGTTTCGGAGCCTTTCCCACTGGCCCCCCCAGGAGTCTGCCCGCACCTCCCCCTCCCTCTGTCTTTCCTACAGCATCCAGCCCTGTCCTCCCCAGAGGTAAATTTTTAATTCTCACAACAGATTTTTGCACACGTGCATTTACTGCTAAATGTCATAGATGCAAACTCCCCTTTCCTAAACAGTGTTTGGGGTCTCGCTCACTCTGTTTTTGGTTGTTGTTAAAGGGGATGAGATGACTGTGCCCAGGCCTGTCCCCTGCGGCCTCCAATGCGGCGGGGAGAGCCTGGCGGGAATGGGCGCGTGTGTCCGTCTCCTCCTTGTTGAATGTCTTCCATATCATATGTGTCCATGGCTACCATCCATCCCTTGGCCTTAACTTTAAAATTTGGAGATTATATGCAAACATGTGTAAAGACTCATGAATATGGATGACACTGGAATTTTATAAATTCTAAAATAAAACCCGAAACCAGATACAGTGTGCTGGGACTCATTTTTATCACGTCCCGCGTGTGCTCATTCTTTTATTTTAAATAGTGGAATTTTTTTTTTAATTTATTTTACTTTTGGCTGCGTTGGGTCTTTGTTGCTGTGCACAGGCTTCCTCTAGTTGTGGCGAGCGGGGGCTCCTCTTTGTTGTGGTGTGTGGGCTTCTCATTGCGGTGGCTTCTCGTAGCAGAGCACGGGGCTCTAGGCACGTGGGCTTCAGTAGTTGTGGCACACAGGCTCAGTAAGTGTGGCGCCCGGGCTTAGTCGCTCCGCGGCATGTGGGATCTTCCCAGACCAGGGCTCGAACCCGTGTCCCCTGCACTGGCAGGTGGATTCTTAACCACCATGCCACCAGGGAAGCCCTTGTGCTCGGTCTAGTGAAACCAGGGGTGTCTTCAGCATGCTCTTGAGTGGTAACTGGACACCCACAGATATTTGGTGTAGTTCTCCCAGCTGGCATAGGGTTCTCAGCCCTGTGTTAACTGTTCCCACAGGAGCCACGGCGCTGGGAGGCGTCATTGTTGGGGGTGGACAGTGACCCGGCACTTCCCACTCCTAAGCATGCACCCTCCGGGGTCACCAGCGGGCACCCCGCTGGGAGGTGTGGACAAAGTTTGAAGGCAGCGCTGTCCCCAGCAGCTGGGCAGAACGGCTCAGTGGCCGTCTTCATTCAGGGAGCTGACACAGCAGCCGGGGTGGGCTAGTTGTGCACAACGCTGCAGGGAAGGCTCGTGGTTGTGTGGCCCCCGGAAAAGGTCGCACCTGTGGGTTCCATCGTTCCGTCCCGCCAATGGAGGCCACGTTGGTGGCTACTCTTGGTGGGAGGAGGAGGGTGGTGTGGGAAGGTCCTTGTCAGGACCGCGTCCTGGTGACCAGGGCTGTGTCTTCGTTCAAAAGCTGGTTACACTGGTGTGTTCACTTCATGAAAACCCGAGGTGTGACCTAGCATTTCTTACGTTTCCATAAATTTACTTTAAAATTTAAAAAGTTTGAAACAGCAACAACAACAACGCAGCAACCATCTGCAAGAAAATACTTGTGGATTGGGTGACAAGGGCATGATGCGTGCAGCCCCACCACCCACAAGCGGAAGGACGGCTCATTTTTTAAATAGTGGGTAAGCAAATGGCAGATTCCAAAAAAATGCCAGTGGCCACACCACAGCCTCAGCCCCACTGGTCAAGAAATGCTCAGTGCCCGAGGCCCAGAGCCGTGGGTTTTTAAATGTGTCAACTGGCAGTTCTGGGGAAAAGCTGGGCGGTGGTGCAGTGCATCAAGGTGCTTTAAAAACCACGTGTCCTTTTTGACACTGCTGTGCACTTTGAGGAGCGTCCCCTAAGGAAATCGAAGGTGGGCGGTGTCTCCGGGCGTTTATGCCGTGTGATTTCTAACCGCAGAGCAAGAGAACGGTAAGCAGATGGCGAAGTTGGGAGGTGCTGTGTGATCCGAGCTAGGAGAAGGTAAACACAGAGAGGGGTTGTGAAGCCAGTCAGTGGACAAGGTCGAACTGCAGGTACCGTTAAGCTCCCAGCTCTGAAGAGGACCATGTGCACCCAGACAGGCAGAACTTCTGGAAGGAGATGCACCGAGCATCGCAGGAGTGTCCTTTCCTCCAGGCATTCACTGGTCAGGGGATAAAGCTCAATCTCCTTCCAAACCTTCCCCATCTGGGCGCTCGCTGCCCGGAGAGAAGGGGTGCCCACTACTCACAGCGCACCGTCTGGGGGAGTCAGGTGGTGCCACAGGAGGAGAGGAAAGGGCGGCTCAGAGGCTGTGGACAGGCTGGAAGGGAAAGGGGCTCGAGATGAGAAGACAGACCTGCAGGCCTTGTGGGGGCGGGCGGGGGTGGTGGGCAGACTCCCAGCAGGTTTCGCAAGACGCTGCAGGGACAGGGTGGGAAGAGGCGGGGCTGGTCTGGAGAGGGGACACCGCCATCTGAGGGAGAGCACGTGCAGGGAGCATGGGAGAGAAGACGGAGGACAGGAGATGAGCCTGAGCCTCACCGAAGGGCTGAGGGGAATGGAAGTGTGAATGGAGCAGCCCGCGGTGGAGGCCACCTCCAGTGCCTGCCAGGTGATGGGGGAGGGGGAGGGGCAGGGGCTGGAAGGACCGGAGCCATCCTGCCCCAGGGGAGTGAGGAGACAGCACTGGTCCGTGGGGCTGGGCAGGAGCTGCCTGATACCCCCGGGCCCCCCCCGCCCCGGGGCATAGCATGCCCAGCACTCCAGGTACCACGCTGCAGTTGGCCGGCCGTGGGCGCCACAGCAGGCCTGAGGGGCCAGGAGACGGGCTGTGGCCTCTGAGGGTGGTGAGCCTTGTGACAGCTCTGCATCTTCCCCCCGCCCTCCAGGTGGGGCTGCTTTCAGGGCGACCCCTGTGCCTCTGGCTCCTGGCAAGCCTAGGCTTGCGGGCCCAGATTCATCTCTGAGCCCGAGGGCTGGTCCTTCCGCCCCGTTTGTTCCACCAAGAACCTGTTTTCAGGAAAGGGCAGAGAAGGGGGAGCGGGACAGCAGCAGAGCACCGGGGGCTGGGGCGCTCACCTCGTCCTCGGCTAGCGGCTGCTTGGCCAGGTAGTACTCCCGCTTCACCTTGATCTCCACAGATCTGGGGATGTCAGGCACCAAGAGGTCAAGGACCCGGCCGATGGAGAACACCACGTGCTGGGGGCAGGGCACCCCCACCCCTTGGCAAAACAAGTGCCCAGAGTGGCCTTCGTGGGGCTGTATGTGGGCACCTGCTCCTCAGGTGTGGCTTGAGCGGACAGCAAGCATCAGAAAAGGAAACTCCTGGAAGAGACAGGCCACAGCAACAGAGACCACCCCTGGCTTCCGTGGGACACTCCGCAGTGCCC